ACCACATACTTACACCTTGCGCAATCGTGTGAGTGACGTGCGTTGACGTACTGTTTATGCCAGTCCTTCCCCCCGTTTTCAGAAAAATGTAGCAGATGTGGCCTCTTAAAAAACACGTACGGACAAAAAACACGCACGGCGGATCGTGACTAAGCTTTAAGGTAGTAACAAAATGTAATACAGTACTTTGTGTACACGCCGATGCATATGATTGTCAACATGTAACCTGTAATCATTTAGCAAAGATGTACAAAAAAGGTTATCTCAAAAGTTCATCTGTGTGGGTAGAAGTAATTATGAAACAAGTTTGAATTGCGCCAAAGGTAAGTCACATCATATACATATTGAAACACCTGGCCATTCAGTCTCTTTGATTAAAGAAATAATCTTGGACACAGAATCGGACTTTTTCGCACAAGGGATAAAACGCCATTTACATCAGGGCGGGGGGGACTTTTTGCAACCTATGATCCACTGCTTACGGAGTCACGTATGTTATCTGCGTGACGTCACGGAAGCGGTGGATTGCTCAATCCTTGACAAATACTGGAGTTGTACAGTTGAAAAATTTTGGTGAGTCCAATTTGTTGTGTTTAAAATTGCAGTTTAAACTTGTTTCATAAGTACAATAAAGGTCTTCATTCAGTAATACACTGAGAAAATAGTTTTAAATGCTGTGCATTATAATCATCATAAATACTCCTATGTATAAAGGAAAGTTGTACCTGTGCCAAAAGGGCGCACTCTATATACAATCGGATAGCCCAGCATCCTGCAGACAACTTCTGCATCCTTCAAGTCGAAACCGTTGTGACAAACTGTGCCCCATCTGGAACTGTCGGCCGGCCGGACTTCCACACGCCCCTCGTTTGGAGCGGAACCTCCGACAAGACGGATTCTGCTAGAATCTGAAAATGAAACAATAATCCCTATTATTGATATCATAGTAAATGCATTATTTTTACTAGAACATTGCATTGCTGTTCATCATGTTACGATGCTAAATTTCATTCCAACAAAAAGAGTACACAAGAATCAAATTTTAACCAACACTGTCGCCTTTATGATAATGATTAATGACCAATCACTTGCATACGTTAAACCCGCGAGGGTTACTGTTACAGACACGAGACCTTATTTACTTTACAGATACGTGACGTCAACAAACGTGATTGAACGGAAGACGATATAAATTCCCCGTCACGTTTGATACTGTTGACGTCACATATCAGTTATGTCTCATAAGGTCCCGTCTATGTAACTGTAACTCTTGCGCATTTCCGTTAGAGTGATTGGTCATTAATTATCCTGATGAATGAGGTGGTCGTTCTTGAGTTTTTGCGCTAAATCACATCTAAACTAGAGTTCCACGATCGCATACCTTCGCCAAATGATGTTAATCTTTATGACTGACAAAGTAAAGATTATTCCTCCTGATTATGTAAATAGGATCCTCATTTGCTGAATTATATCAGTTGATGATATTATCCACCAATAGACAGCTTTATCTTAACAAAGACATCCATTTTATCATTTCCTCATAAATTATGCAAATTAGGTCCTCATTTGAATAAGTTATGTTTAATAATATTCATCTTTACTTAACTTTCAAATACCCTAAGTATGAAATTCCTGGCAGTTACCGTTATGGAATTATAACATTTTCTCATTAATTATGCAAATTGAGTGTTAATTTACATAATCAATATCTGCCTGTGTTTCTCTTGTTCTCAATTACATATATCACAAGCTTAAATAGTCCAATAATGTAATGCAGCTGAGTTTTTAGAAATTTCTCATTAATTATGCAAATCACATCAAGATTTGCATAATAGTTGCATAATTATGCTACCTACCTACCAAAAATCATTGCAATCCGTCAACCGGTTCTTGAGTTATCCTCTTTTAAATGTTTTTAAAAATGCCCCTGCAGTTCCAGAGCAAGCCGCTAGGGGGCCCAAACCTATGTCACTTCTTTCCCAGCACAAGAGCTACCTACTATCCAAATTTCGTGACCCTGGCACATCTAGATCATGAGATATCAAAACCGGAAGTTATGCTGCAGTACCATAACAAGCCGCTAGGGGGTCCAAAATCTAATAAAGACCTACCCACCTCATAAGTATAAAGACAATCAATATAAGCCTTCTTGAGTTATCGTGGTCACAGACAGACAGACAGACAGACACACGAACGCCTCTGAAAACAGAACCTTCTTGGCGAAGGTAATAACCAAACGCTACCCAAAACATATCTAACCTCCTCCTTCTTCCTTTCGCGGTAATGCCCATCGTCCATCTTTCCGTGGCTAATACGAAACGTGGATTCGCCAGGCCTCCGTTTCGGTATTTTGTAGTAATCACCAACTTGCATGCCCCTACTCTTTTTCGAAAGGTGTGGTGGAATGTGTCTCTCCCCAAACACGGAACCTCCAGTTTATGTAATATCCGAGGGACGTACCTAACCGAAGCTAAGTACTAACTTTGAGTGAAGTGACGAAAGCCTCGTAAGTGTCTTTTCCAAAGGGGACAACGTCAGGGCATGTAGGTAAAATCGAACCCAGGGCCCATGGGTTCCGGGCCGAATATTCTACCCTTACGCAACGCGACGCCACCTAGGCGAATGTGAAGCACCATAGGGCTGTATAGTATTAGAGTATATGTTTACGAATAAGAGTAAAATGAACGTACCTGTACGACAGACCACGCCTACATCTTGGCCATGATCACAGTCGTGAATCGTCCACCCTGCGTAAGAGCAGTTAAAGAGGCTGGTCTCGTTACCATCACATTGTAGGTCATCCATGTAGATTGGTCCTGTTCCTGTGTTTTAAAAGTATGCATCGGCAAGTCACATTAATCGATCCTAAAGATAATACTTTAAACAAGTGCTTTAGAAAAGCTGACGTTTGCCCGTGTGGTCTTTTTGCACAACAAAATCGTATGCAACATATGCGTTTTTTTCTTTGAAGGGATGATATGACAGTTATCCCACAAAAACTCGGGAAACATAAAATGAATCAAACACAGTTTGGCCGGAAAAAGGGAAAAGCTTTGATTTGCGACTTTTCCGAAACAGACACCAAAGGAACGGCCAAGCTGCGAAATTTGTTAATAATTTAGAAAAGAAAACCACCACCTACTCCCTTTCTTTCTCTTTAGCTTCCTATGATATCATCCTTGAACATTGCTTTGGTGTTACCACCCAGGAGGGAACCATATAGCAACAATTAGAAAATACAAAAAAAAGATAACAGTATAACTGCTGACAAACTATTCAGGCTAACAAACATCATTCCTTCTTACGATAGTTCACCAATATCATATTAGAACATGCGCAACAAACTAGAAGAACCTAAACACATAGGTCAACTTGTAACAATAACGTTGTCTCATCACAACGAAACCATCTATTAGTGGTCTACGATGTGGTGTAAGATACTAGTACTACAAAGCCATCTTACGAATGCTAGTCACCATTCTGGAACATAGACTTAACCGGGTGGCTAAGGGTACTTTAAGATACAGCAAGTAGGCGTCCGAACGCCAGTCACCCTGAAGGCGAATCAAGTCAATAGGAACACCTGAACGAAAGGCAAAGGTGGCACTACCTCTACGTCCACTATGTAGTGAGTATCTAGCTGGGCTTAAACCTGCTCTAATCAGGATCTGCTTGAAAGCCTTATCGAAAACGCTCTGAGTCAAAGGTACAAATCCGGATCTATGTGGTCTCGTAAAAGCTGCGATAGTATCAAATTTTCGATTCAGCTTAACCATATTACAGTATGCCGATACTGGACAAAGAGGAGAATTCTTGATCTCCATCACGGGAACATACAATAATCTCTCTGCACATTGTAATGCCTTAGACCATCTAATTCTGATCAGCAAAACTCCTCTATGTACAGCAAAATCATTCATGGTGAACTGTTTAGCCGGATCAAACTCAGACACAAAGTTAGATTTTCTCTGAAACGTAAAGAAACTGATAAGTATCACTGCCCATATGGTTGCCTGAACCGAGTCCGAGGTATCTAACTGTTCATACATAGATCTTGAGCAAGATTTCTGGGGTGAATGGCAGCTTTTGACGCGGCGTATGTCCTATTTGTTTCTTCAGTCCTCGTAACACCAGAGCTAGATCCATAGACGAGAAAGCCGCGGTGTCTAGTCCGAACAGAATGTGAAAGGTTTTGATACCGCTGATTTAGTTTGCAATTGACGCTGGCGCCCGAAAGGAACGACTGAGAAACTCATCATAAGTCTCCAGGGTGTCTACTGTTGACGGAAAGGGCGGTAAACCGTAGAACGTACAGAACAGCATGTAGGTTCGTAAATGTGTTCTCAGGTTCCCCCACGTTCCCTCAGCAAAGACTGCCCGTTTAGTCTGACGCACTCGGTCTCGCAGTAATGTAAGGTCTTTGCTGGCTGGAACAAACAAACAAACAGAACAAAAGCATTAGGACCTAATCATACAGTCAGTATTGGCAAACCAAGATAAAGTCTTCCTGGAATACCGAAATCTCACAAGTGGTCTGATGTCGTGTGAGACTCTTGAACTGCTGAGAGTGATATGCTGAGAGGTGCCATCGCGAAAGATGATCGGCAATCCGATTGTGGGAACCTTGAATGTGTGTGGCCTTCACCTGGAACTCAAATGTGGCAGCCAACAGCCATAATTCCCTCGCACACTGCAACAGTTCCCGATCACGAGCACGGCCGGAGTTTAATACGTGCACACAAGCCATGTTGTCGCAGTGTACCACAATTCGCTGTCTACACCAGCGGGGTGGCCATTTCCTTGCCGCGATTACAATTGTTAACATTTCGAGCACGTGCATCTTTGATCCAAACTGTTCCAAAACCCGCCCGGGAAACTCGCAATGAAAGCTTTGACCGTTGGAGAAACCGCCGCACCCCGTGGCACAGGCGTCCGTCATAACCAACTCGTCCGGGTCACTGTAAATGTCTGGAACCATCATCGATACACCGTTGTATGAATCCATAAACCGCTGCTACCACTTGTCTTGAGATCCAATCTGAAAGCCCGTGTCAAGCGAAGTCTATGGTGGTTCCGTCGTAGTGAACGCAATGCCTCCAACATACGTGATATAAACAGTCGTCCTGGAGGCACACAGGATGAAACAAAAACGAGCTTACCAATAAGGGACTGGAGTTCGCGTCTAGTGGCCTTTGTTGTGTCCCAAACCGTGCCTTGTTCCAAACCATGCCTGGGCATGGTTTGGGACACACGGCGCGTGTCCCAAACCGTGCTTTGGGCAAATCTACATTCTGGGACACGCGAGGACTGTCCCGAACCGTGCCTGATCGAACACACTCGAGCTCTGGACACACAAGGGCCTTGTCCCATTCCGTGCGTTGGGGGTGGAGCTTATTGTTTTGAGGGAGGAGCCTTCTCGTGGTGTTGTTTACTGTTTTAGGCCGCCATCTTTGTTTTTCGTCGGGGCAAGAATCGGTGTGATTCTTGCTCTGTAAAGTACACTTTTAACCATTTTCGCCTGAACGAAAATGGTTTATGAGACCAAAACAAATATTCCATCCATGGAGGCATGGAGGTCAAGGCAACAATGGTCCATGCCATAACATTTATCCATGCCATGGAAGTTTGTATACTTTCTATTGCGGTTTCTAATTTCAAAATCATGGTTATAATAATGTTGCATAACAAAGCTGCTGACAAAACAAACTTAATTTGTCTTAAATAATACTTGATTTTATTATTTGCCAAAAATGTTAATAAAAACATGTTTATAATCACAGTAATCAAGGATTTTAATAAACGGCATAAATTATGTCAACAGTCCACTGCAGGCCATGCAATACCTGTTTACTTCTTTCCGGTTTAGACTTGCTGCCATTTTAATCCATGTTCTTTACAAAAAGAAACTTTATGTAGTAACAGTCTCATCTAGTTACATACCATTGATCGAAGTATAGTTACATAAGTTTTTCGGCGCTAATTTATTGATCATCTGCAAATCTAAAGATGATTGCATAAATTATGTTAATGACAAAAATGCCGCCTGTCGTTAGATGTCGTTGTTGCATCTACATCTACATGCAAAGTCGTGATGAAAAGTCCTTCTATGTTTCTCTATTATGTTTGCACTTTAACGTTTGCCTGCTGCATTGTTCTTACTCAGGAATGTCGATACGTTTGATACTTACTCTTTTTAAACACGGGCTTTCATGCTTCAATCATAATTCGTTCATCCTGTGCTCGAACCTGCAATTTTCTCGGATCGCTATATATGGTTAGGCAGTCAAATAATTACGTAAACAGATGACTCAGTAAGTAGAGTCTATGTCCAAACCCCGCCACGTGCAACACCGAACAGCGGTTCGGTGTTGCACGTGGCGGGGTTTGGACATAGAGAGTTCGATCCCCGGAGAAGTAACTTTTTTTAATATTTTCTTTTTATTTTTTTTTCTAATTTTTCTTTTTTTTTTAATTTTTTTTAATTTTTTTTTAATTTTTTTTTAATTTTCTTTCTTGCGGTGCACGTGGCGGGGTTTGCACATAGCGAGTTCGATCCCCGGAGAGGAGCTTTTTTAAAATTTTTTTGCTGTTTTGCTTTTAACACTCAAAAACTAATTGTTCATGTCCCGACGTATGAGTTTTTTAAATTTTCTTTTTAACATCTGCTGTTTTGCTTTTTTTATCAGATGTGTTTTCTTCTTTAAGTAGTCTCGTACCAATTTCATCAGCTTGGGTAATATCATTTCAACAACTTCTACCTCAATAACGGCAGTAAAACCTTCGTCAGCCGAAATGTCAACAAAACACAACAAACATCCCCATAATCACACCGAATCAACACATATATATATACACATATTGTTCAACATTTCACAAATTACAACACAACAGTATTACCACCTGTCAAGATTTATCTTAAACATATTTTTTTTTTCATTTCACAAAAACACCACTGTAAACTATAAGTTTACTGAATATTACTACAAAAAGATATATGTCACAGCTGTAATGTTCAAATTCCACATACACAGAACATCTGCAACATCACACAACAATCTCCCTTCCCCTGTTAAAACACACCTTCTCCAAAAAAAACATCTCTACGATCTACTTTCTTATCCATTTTACATCTCACAACACATCATTTATAGATCACATCCCATTATAACCGCCAGTAAATAATCCTTTTTATAGAGGCGAAAATGGCAGCTTTTTTCAGAAAGCACTTGTTTACATTGCACGCTGGTCTACGACTTACATGTAGTGTCCAAACAGAGTGTCTTGTATCATTCTCCAACTCAGTGCGGGCACAGTTCTTGATACAAAATAGCACGTAGTATACCCAAGATATATACGGCAACTGCCGGTATGCTCTTCTTAAATCTGTCTTATATAACAGACAACCTGGTCCCTTATTCAAAATCATTTGAGTCATTGTGTCGACTGATGGGTAAGACAAATTAACCGTGTCTCCTAGATAAGTATCCTTAGGTACCGCTTCATTCATGGCCACATGGGAAACTACAGACCACTACTACTCTTCTCTTATCACTTCCGTTTCTCCACTGTTTGCAATGGTTTCCACTGGGGACGAAAAAGGGTTCTCTGGAAAAGGTCCCACTATGGCACCTAGGCGGCGCTCTTCAGAAAGAAAATGATCAACATGTGAAGAATACGTTGTAGCAGACTTACGATTCTTAGGATACAAAACTGCAGGCAAACTATAAAGTTCCGCCTGAACGTTGATGGGCCAACCGAAATCCAAATACGAGGGGTGTTCAAAAAGTTCTCGGCCCAACCTAGAAAATAAAGGTCAAACTCC